CAGCCAGCGTGCTCCAGCCCTACTCCTGGGGTGCCTCTAGAGGCAGCAGCGTGGGGTGGCAGGGGGCTCCTTGGGAGTGGGGCTGCTGGCCCTGCCCCCGCCCCCGGGGACTATCAAATAGTCATGTAACTGCTAAGAATTCATGTGGTTACACGACTATTCAATTACCTGATAGCTAACATCCCTAGTTGACAGGATTAACCGATAAGCCAACGTTTTTATCGGTTAATCGTGTAGCTGTCTACATGTTAACATCTCTACTGCTTGCTACCCTGTAATGCTGGTCTTGGTTTTTCTATGCAGAAAACCAGTTATTGTGGCACAGGTGGATCGTGGAGTTTTTATACCATGTTGGGGAGCCCTCAGAAAGAAAAAGGTTGAGAACCCCTGTGTTAAAGCACATGAAAAGGCTACCTTGGGTGTGAAGCACTTGGATATGAAAGATGTACTGTTTTTTCTATTCATAGAACACAAATTGCACATGGGTCCCTGCAGCAACTAATAAATGGAGTAACTGTTAGGCAATGCTGCTATATGCTTGCTAAACAATAGTTTAGTACAGGAAGTAAAGACAATACCATATCCCATTGAAATGATCTGTTTGTCTTGTATGTCTACAGTGACCATCACTGTGGTATCTGAGCTAGGGAAAAATGAGGTTGAAAGAATTCAGTCACCTAGATTAGAATTTAGCTAGGACACTGAAGTGAATGCCTCTGTGCTTGGGGATGCAGTGGGATGGAGAACAGCTCCTTTGTTTAAAAAGGGTCCCTGGGTCTTAGAAAGTTGGCCAGAAAAGTGGGTGAAAATCACATAACACTTTGTTGTTCTGTTTCGCTATTGTGTTGTGGTTTCTTGTTAACATCCTTAATGCCTGGAATTGTAATAAAATAGCAGTGCCACCCTATTGTAATCTTGCCTTCATTCTGTCCCACATTTTGTGCTGACTTAACTCTGTGCAACCCTCTAGATGTTAAAGTGGGCATGGGGTGGAGTTGTCACAGAATCTGCCCCATTGACTGGGTCATGCAGAAATCACCCAGTATTCTAAATCCAGCAGCTCTGTGCTTTCAAGTGAATTGAACAAGTTATTAGCTAACTTCATTGAATTATCCAATATGTATATATTTTCCTAGTAAACCTGACTTTATTTTCCTAAAAAAAATCTGTCATTTTAGAATGAGAGAAGATAGTGGTGCTAGAGTATATGAAAATGTGGGGTCGATGCAGCAGCAGCAGAAAAGCTTCAGATGAGATGTACAGAAACTTTCATGCAAAGGAAGGTATGCACATTGGAAATTCTAGTGTGATCTACCTTAAAGCTGCTTTTGTTGCTCTATGGCATATTTTAACCTAATCACAATTCAGTCATGAAATGTATTTAATCCAACAATCTTTGCTATAGTGTCAGTTGGTTTAGCAAGATGAAGTATTCATCATTTTCACAGTCACTTGATTTACCAAGTGAGAAGGGTAATACTTTGGACTGAGTGAAGCCAGTTCTGACTGCCTTTTGGGCTACACCATCTCAAACCATATTTACTTAGTTGCGCAGGGTCCCAACTACTGTGTCTCTCCCTTTGAAATCTGCAAGAGCCGCAGGCGGCTCTTCTACATTTCAACGGCAGAGGCGCAGTGGGATAGTGAGTGCGCACCTTATTGACTAATCGAGTAGTTGATGGAAATTCCATTGACTACTTGATTAGCTGATTAATTGAAATTTAACATCCCTATCTTAAAATGGCATTTTCTTGGGGTATGTCTACACTACAAAGTTCATTCAAAACAACAGCCGTTATTTCGAATTAACTTTAATAGCGTCTACACATGCAAACTGCTATTTCAAAATTAATTCGAAATAGCGGAGCACTTATTTCAAATTTGGTAAACCTCATTCCACGAGGAGTAACGCCAAATTCAAAATAGCTATTTTGAATTAAGTGCTGTGTAGACACTTAATTCGAAATAGGGGGCCTCCAGCCCTTCCCAGGGAGCCCTGGTGGCCACTCTGGGCACAACCAGGAAAACTTCCTCTCC